CGAGGGTATATGTTCGGTGAGCTTCTAATTTGCTGTGTTACACCTGCCCCAATATCTGTAAGAAGGTGGCGCAGAGCCAAGTTCATGGCTGATCTCATAGGCTGGTGAGAACTGTCTTTGAGCTTTCCCTCTTCGGTTAGATGTGTGAGTACTGTAATACTACTGCATGAAAGCCTTCAAGCTGAGAGCCGAAGCGACCCTGGTAGCGTACGGATAGCGCACTCGCTCGGAAAGCGTGAGCTGCGAGTTCGAGTCTTGGGATCAGGCTTCCTCAAAAGGGTTCACCAGCGGAGGAGACACAGTACGGCAGGCCTCTGCATGTCGCACCAGCATAGGTTCTTGTTTAATATCCAGATTCGACCTGAGGGTTATATGATGGAAGTAGTCTCACGTACCTCTAAGTATTGCCTAAGCACCATTCTGATTGCTTCAAAAGACGTGGCTTTGAACTACAAAATGCTTCATTTCTCTTCTTGGCAAGCGGCACATTATCTTCGCTTTTACTACTAGAACGGGATTTTCAGGCAGCACTGAAAGCAGAATGGAACCGAGGTCCACGAAGTGTTCTACGACTAGAGGCCATGGTTGTTTGCCCACATATGTGATTGTCAGCTCTTCCATTTAGTAATGAGGAATGTTTCAGATTCTGCGACGTCTCGAAGGAAAAACCCATTTCGCTCAGCTTCTTCAAACAGGCAAAAAGACTTCCTATTCATACATTGTGATGACGTTGTTAGGAGAGAGTTTGGACACGGTTTTGAAGTGATTTCCTTTCCAAAATTTTCTGGAAGTCCAATTTTTTTCGCGTCATATGAGGCAAATAGGTCTACAAAGGGTGAAGTTGCACCATCTTCCTGGAGGCGGTCAAGATTATCGTAATTTGCGCGCGTCGCGTGCGCCATGATTGCGGTGTTTTCTTGATTTGCATCAGCCAGTTGGAAGAACGGGTTCTTTGCAGACTATGGCATTAAACAAACAGGGCGTGAAATTTATGGCTATTTGTGGTTGCAAACTGCTTATTGCTGTTACCTAAGACCTCGAAATATCGTTAAATACGGACGCAACGTCGCACGCGACACCCACCTGCACGGCGATTTACGATTGTCTTGTCACACACCTACTCCCCTGCTTGTGAGGACATGGTACTGGTAAATCAAAGCCCTGCTGCTCAAAGATGTCTAGACCATTCGCTGCAAATGCTGCAAAGAGTCCAGTGGCAGCGGCTTTTGTCACGGGTATTTGCCGCCTGGTTCCTCTTGCAGGTGCGCACTGTTTCTTCAGCTCACACTACCACAGCGAGTAACTTTGCACGCCAACTCGAAGGGGAGTATCCAGGAGTAGGGACTACCCTGCCCATAAATGTTTGGAAAGCCATATTTGAGGCACAGAAACTACATTTACTCTTGTTGGCTCGCCTTGCATTCGGAATTGCAAAGGCATTCCATTACATGCCGGTTTGGGAAAGCTATTCGGTTCTACTTAAGGTATCTTGATCCTTTTGGGTAGAGAAAAAAAACTATTGAAGATGAAAATTGTCATGTTGAAAATCGAAGAAATGGGAAATATTGAGGGGGTGAGTGGGAAGCAAAAGGGTAGCTTCGCACTTGCCATCGGAGGGAGGCCGTGGAAAAGCATAATCCTCCCTCTGTGCTCAAGTAAGTCGAGTACGGTGCTAGAAGGGAAGCTGTCAATCATACCTTCCTTAGGTCGAGTCTGCCTCGAGTTCACCAAACCCGTCCTCTGGATCCCTTAGTTTAACGCCTTGTCCGAGGGTAAACGAACAACAGAGCGGTTTTGGGGATATCATGGGGGGGGGGGTTGTGATTTCAAAATCCGTTTCCTATACCAATGTGAAAACGAACTCATTTCAAGACGTAGGTGCGCTTCTAATTACATAGGATCAAGGGACTTATAATTTGCTGTGTTAAACCCTTTGCAATACCTGATCGTTGTACGTTTCAAAGATCGATGTGGCAGAAGTGGCTCGGCACGAGGTGGGCACCCGGGCGGGATCCAGGCGATTGCTGGAGCCACGCGAACCCGGCGGGATCCCAGCGAGTGCTGGAGAGGGGTTAAGAACAGGAAAATCTGAGTCCCAAGGCAAGTTGCAGTCCCACTTGCAAGGTCCGCCGCGATGTGGTTCTCCTCGCCAAGATCTCCCATGCAGGGACCCCCTCCCAAAGATTAGATAAATGCCGATCAATTGAACTCTTGTTTTCTAAGGCCCCAGTGGCATTTGTTGGTTACAGGAAAATTGGCAGAATCTGCACGATATCGACTCAGATAAGAGTAGGAATAAATGCCCTCTATGAGATAAAGCAACTACATGATGTGAGCACTATAAATGGGTTTTTGTCAGATGAACTCTCTTTAAAGGGTTATTTCACTAGGTTGGATTCATTACACCGAGATCTCAAGCCGGGGAAATATGGCCCTTGGCTCTTGCGGAACTCCGCACCAGCGCTTCATTCATCTCTTCGATTTCGGATTGGCTCGTGAGTACATCATGGTCGACCTTGATGGACGGACAAAAATGCGAAGACCACGAAAGAGGGCTCATTTCAGGTGACGAAAGTTCATTCATTTGAAGTCTGTCAAGACTTTCTAGTTTGAAGCGTGGAACATTGTAAGGGCAGCAAGACGTACCACGCGACGTCGCGCGCGTGGGAGGATGCGATGTGCGCAGCAACTGGCTCAGGCTTCAGCACTCTCATCCGAATGCCTAGCAAGGACTGTCTTGCTTTTTCTGCTTCTCCAATGCCTCCTCGATCGCTTTGAACAGGCACTTCCTGCGGTTAGGGAAACCTTTTGCAAAATACGATTTCCCCTTGAACCTTCCTCCTCTGGTACGGAATCCCGTTCCCCATCCTAATTACCTACCGTCTTCCTGAACTCCCCTTCCTCTTCGAAAGAAGTATCGTAGAGAGGGGGGGGGAGTGAGAGTAGATAGCGAAACTGCAACGGAAAAAAACAAGGAAATTCAACAATCGAAAAAAGACCTTTCTCAAAATAATTACGCTACCCCCTTCCCCCCCTCTACCGCCCAAACCGTCCCCTCCCCGCTGAGGATACCAACCTACGCAGTGTCCTGGGCGTTCTTATACAGTCATGATCCCAGCGAACCATAGGGTGTCAAGGGGCGTGGATTGGAGCGTTGCTGAGACAAGCTTTCCACCCAGTGATGTCACCCTGAGTCCGTAAGAATGGGCGGGAAAGCCTGTTTTGCTGAATTCCAATTCAAGTTCCTCACACGCCCTATCGTTTGCAGGAGATCATGACCGTACACCCACACGGGAAGCAATGGGAGTGGGACTGGAAAGGGGAAGCTTACCAGGGAAATCACTTGACGGTGGCTTGGGTGTAAGGACAGATCGAGCTGTCGACCTTGGTGCTTTCTGTCGCTTCGTGATTTGCGCTCTAGGCTGAAAATAAAGTCTTACGGTAAAGCTTCTGCTTCCAGAGGAACCATACGATATTGCTCTGTCAACGCCCAAGAAAGAGGAGAGCAAGGTCGGCCCGACGACTTGTGGTGTCTGCTCTACATCTTAGCCGAAATGCGAGGCC